CCGCTACCTTGCCTGCGGGATGATCCGTCGACGTTAAGAGTCCAAGAGTGAGGGTCTTCTGGCTCGATGGGAGCTGGCAGGGGTAGAGGGGCAGTGGTTGGGGTAGGATTAGTGAATTCCAAGATGAAGTCGGCAATAGCCTGTCCCTTAATTGCTATTCGAGGGCGGTAAGAGATGTCAAACTGGCTGAGTTCCACAGACCACTGCATAAGTCTGCCGGAAAGTTCTGGTTGCTGCATGACCTTCTTCAAGGGTTGGTCGGTGAGGACCACTATAGAATGGGCTTGGAAGTAAGGACGGAGTCGTCTAGAGGCGGTGACCAAGGCTAAGGATAATTTTTCTCACAGGGGGTAATTCTACTCTACTCCCCTGAGAGCCCGACTGATGTAGTAGACCGGTCGTTGGACAGAGTCGTCTTCCCTAATAAGAGCTGCACTGACTGCGGTGCTTAAGATGGCCAAATAGAGGAAGAGGGACTCGCCCGTGATCGCTTGTGAAAGGAGGGGTGGATTGGCCATGCACTGCTTTAACTGCTGGAAAGCCTCTTCAGATTCAGTTGTCCATTCAAAAGTTTGCCGAAGAACTTTGAAGAATGATAGGCACTTATCTGTCGCGCTGGAAATGAAACGGTTGAGGGCTGCAACTCGGCCAGTGAGTTTTTGGACCTCATTGACCGTCCTGGGAGACTGCATCTCAATCAAAGCCTTGATCTTTTCAGGGTTAGCTTCAATGCCCCGCTGACTAACCATAAAACCCAGGAACTTCCCAGATCCTACGCCGAAGGCGTATTTCTCTGGGTTGAGCTTCATTTGGTACTTGCGTAGCGTGGCGAAGGTCTCCCGCAGGTCGGTCAGGTGATCAGTGGAGAGTTTGCTCTTAACTAGCATGTCGTCGACGTATACTTCCATATTCCGACCTATTTGGTGATGGAAGACGGCATTGACCAACAGTTGGTAGGTGACCCCAGCATTCTTCAATCCGAATGGAATTACTTGGTAATGGTAGGTACCTCGGTCGGTGATGAAGGATGTATGTTCCCGATCGGACAGGTGCATGAGAATTTGGTTGTAGCCAGAGAAAGCATCCATGAAGCTGTGCATTTGATGACCGGCCGTGGCATCGACCAGCAGATCTATGCGGGGTAGAGGATAGCTGTCTTTGGGGCAAGCTCAGTTCAGGTCAGAGTAATCGACACAAAGTCGCCATTTGCCATTGTTCTTGCGGACGAGGACCACGTTTGACAGCCATTTAGGGTAATCGACATTTTTGATGAATTGGGCCTCAAGGAGTTTGTCGACCTCTGCAGCTATAAGAGTATTGCGCTCCGGATGAAAGATGCGCTGCTTTTGGCGGTAAGGTCGGAAATGAGGTTCAATACTGAGGCGATGAGTTATGAAAGAAGGGTCAATGCCTGGCATATCTGAATGAGTCCAGGC